TTATTTACACTATTATTAATAGTTTTAAAGCGCTTGTCAACGGTCTAATTTTGTGCTTAATTCTAGGTGAAATTGTAAATCTTTCAAGTTATCGTCTTTAACGCGCAACGTATTGCAATGTTACTTAGCCTAGCCTCAATGTTGCTTCACGTTTATAAGTTCAATTGCTCGGGGATACTGTTGAAGCAATACTGCCGGAATATTCGCTGGTATATAACAAAGAATCGCCAGCAATATTACTGAGCTAAAGTTCTCAGCAAGATTTGCACTAAGAAGCGATTTTTAAAGTTCGTTTACGTACCCTTTTAGCATATAAAGTAACTAATTGCTCAAGAAATATATTATTCTCTTTTCACGTCACATGATCCCGGTATAAGTAATTAAATATAGTTATAGCAATTGAATATTAAAAATAAATAAATTAAAAATAAGCAAAATTAAAACCTGTTATAAATTAATTATGTAATTTAAGTTTTTGTAGTGGTTATTTATCGAAGGTAAATTTTTATGTATAAAATTATGTAGCTTAATAATATTTTAATTGGTATAAATATAAATCTGGAACCTCGCCCTTATTTAAATTGACATCATGACTCGCGTGCCATTTGGATTCTGGATTCGATTACTTTAGTTGTAAGATTGGTTTTCGATTATGGATAGATATTCTAAATAATTAAGGATATTTGTGTTTTAAATTTGCCTTTCGTCGGTAAGAAATTGACGTGAAGTGGTAGAAATTTTAATTATTTTGCATTTAGTTATTTGGCTATGATTTTATCACGTTTTGAGATGGCTAAACGTGGCCCGTTACAACATGAAAAATAATTGATTGCCGGTGTACGTACAAACCATAAAGCTGAACGCACATTTGTCCGCGCCGTACACGCCGAATTTTAGAATTCGTTGTATGAAATCATATTATGAAACCTCGCACATTACACCCGCACCGTACACGTTGAATTTTATAAAATGCGGTAGGTATACGATATCGAAGGACGAATGCTCATGACGTCATATAACGCGGCGCGTTCGGCGCGTGCTAATACTCAGTGTTGTCTAATGTTGCCAACTTATTAGATTTTCCACTATAACTGGTGGTTTTGAGTTACATGATAATTTTTATATTTTTATAACTTTTAATTCATTCATAATTAATTATACATAATTTGATTTTTTTGCATCGATTATCAATATGTATTCTTAGCGATAAATTATTTAAATACTGAACTAACAAAAAAACAGTTAAATTTAATTCAAAAACCCAATTAATACCTGATTAATTATGAATAAAAATTCTTACCTCTAACATACAACAAGTCTTTTTTCTGGTTCAATTGGCTTTCTAAGTCTTGAGTTTTCCATAGAAAGATATGGTTTTAGTATATGTAGCAATTCTTGAAATTTCTTGTATGTTAAATGCAAATATCTAAAAAAGCGTTCATCATCATCTAATAAGTCTTTAAATAAAGTATATCCCCTTCATATTCTTCATACCATTGCCTTTTTAAATTAATATTATGAATCCATAATCTTCTTTATCTTCGAATTTTATTTTCTTCTTCCTCTGCCAATAAGCAGGCTATTACTATATTTATTTCCACAGTGATTTCGAGCGATCAATTTCACTGTACCGTTTCACACCAGTAGTTGGAAAAAACTACAAAAGTTGTTGGTAATACAAAAGATTTGCGTACGGCGCGGACGATGCGTTCGGCCAAATGTGCGAGGTCATCAGTAAAACTCAACGCGTACGGCGCGTACGATGCGTACGGTGCGGACAAATGTGCGTTCAGCTTTAACAGTTTTGGTTTTTCGCGAAATAGTTAACGTTTAGGTAGGAATATTTCGAAAACTGCCACATCATGCATAGTTATACGATTTGTACGACGACATAATCTATATTATATAAAAATTAATTGCTTTCCTGAACAGATTTTGACTGATTAAATTTTTGTGTGTGTTTCAGTGGATACCTGGATGGTTTAGATTTACAATTAGATACGGTAGATGGCACTATTGTCGAGATCTAGAAATCACACGTGTGAAGCTGGGGCGGATCGCTTGTATTATATGTATGTACATAATGACTTTGGTTACTACAATTACAATAGACTTTTACATATAAAGTTATCTCCCTGTTGTTAGGCACAAACATAGCTTTAGGCTTAAAATTTTCAATTTATAGAGTAATAACTAAAATGTAGCATATATTAAGCCCATTGCAGTATTCAACCCTCAAACAAACCCCGTTAGCCTATTTAGATAAAATCTAATACCATGCACGCAAGGTCAGTGCGAATAGCTCTTGCGAATTCATATTAATAACTTCCCTACAATTTGCAAATACAAAATTACCGTTACACCCTATTGAAGTCCACTGATGAACATAGGCCAGTTTCTTGTTGTTCCTTCATAAATTGCTTCATAGACATATTTGTCATAGTTGCCACGTTTGGCAACTATGACATATGTTTTAGTTAGGTTACATAGGTTATGTTTTAGTCGTTATTAGGAAGATCTTGCTACTCATCTCCTGATTTGTTTCCCTCTGTCGCCTCTTACAACACCCACGGGATGAAATTGAATAGTGGATATTCTTACACTGCCACTACATGGTAAATACAGAGTTAAGGTTTTATAAATATTAGTACTGATTATGAAATATGGTATTTAATACATCATTAGTAAACCTTTTCTGCCGATTTCCAAAAAGGAGACGGTACTCAATTCGACGCGTATGTTTTTTTATGTGTGTTACCTCATAACTTTTTACTGGGTGAACCGATTTCGATGAATCTTTCTTTATATGAAAGCTGATACCTCTCGTGTGGTCCCATATGAATTTGATCAAGGTCAGACCAATAGTTTTTGAGTTATTTGAGTTATTCTTAATAACTTATATTAAAGTCGGCTGTACAAAATTTTTAATTTTAAATTATTCAAGACATAATTCCTGGATTCATTGGGTTCTATAACTGATTATTGAAAATTACAGCTATATTATCTCCACATTTTTTATAGAATAAGGGTGGACAAACGAGCACACAGTCCACCTGTTGGTAAGTGTATGCTGAGGACTAAGATGGAATGCCTTATTTCCAGTGAAAAAAGGTCTCCGGTTCTCTACACTCACCATACGAAACACAATAGCATTAAGCTGCTATTTTACGCTGGTATTCTGTGAGAGCGTGGTCTTTCCCCGGTCGAGCCGGCCTATTCATACGAAAACCATAATACAGTTGAAGGTTAGCTCTCCAACGAATAAAATCCTCCATCTTTCATCTTTTTAAATTAAACTCTTAACCCTACTGTAATAACTTTATTTATAAAACTTAAGAAACCAACTTACAGCCCACCCGATGTTAGTGGCTACTGAAATCCATGGACGCCTGCAGCGAACATTAAACAAACATGGCTACGGATGAGTTGACACTTTTGAGGACTAACATGGAATGCCTCACGCCTGTAATAAGACTGGCACTCTATAATATATATACTGTTAGTGTTGCAGTTGTTTATGGGCGGCGGTAGTCACCATCAGGCGAGCCGTATGCTCATTTGCCCCCTCTCCTATAAAAAAAATCACTTTAGATCGAAACACAGCAGTGCGCGCACTACTACTTGACGGCAGAAATGTTGAATGTTATCAAAAAATATTTTCCGTAACTGTTCCTGTACTTGATTGTTGAAGTAAGTAATCATCAAGAAGAGTTACTGTCAATTTAAGCAGATAAAATACATATAAAAGAAGTATACCTGTATATGGTCATAACAATGATCCCAACCAGTGGTCCGCAAGAGCTTCAATATGGTTCCCGAAAGATTTAAATATTTTACCTACCTAATTGTTTTAAATAATACATTTATTTTGTACTCGTCACGCGGGCAGTGCAACGGTACGTACACAGTATATAACATAATATGTTATAAAACGTGTGGAGGCTGAATATTATATAAAGTGTTATATAACTCGAACGGCAGTAAGACAAACGACAATGTCATACGACAATGTGATATACCATTGTTATATTGCATTGTTATTCTAATGTGTACAGTATTGTTATATGTTGCAATATTGAAAAACAACATTACATAATGTGGACATGTTATAAAACAAAAGTTACACAACATGTTACTTAACACGTTCGCTGCGGCACAAGGCTTATAGGCCTGATACATGAACTTGCAGTCGGTGCGGAGCGAAAATACAGCGTTCTCCCTCTGGTGCGAACGCAGTAACTTAAAGATTTCTCTATAAGTGATAAAGACAAGTATATATTTAAGATCGTCTTTTCAATGGCTATTCATTTAAATAATAATATTTGTATCAGGCCTATCGACCTTATACCGCACTGGAGAGTAGAAATTGACATTCAGTGCGGATACAAGGCCCATAGGCCTTATGGGAAGTACAACGCCTAACTGCCTAATACCGCACTGATTGAAGAGTTAAAATTAATTAGTGTTGTGTTGACAGCTTTTACAAATGCATGTGCGTACGATTCATAAAAAATGCATCGAGTCAATAAACGTTGTCGAAAAATGCTCGAGCTGTCTTTTCAAAATGCTCAAGAAGTGGTGGACCAAAATAACAGTGCCAGCTTACAAGAAAAAAAACAAATTCAAATCCTTCAGGATGTTATTGTTAAGCCAGCTTCTACAAGCAGTGAAACTACAACATTTCAAGAACCTCGCTGCAGTTCATCTATTACTTTTCAAGAACCTAGCTTCAGTTCAACTTTACACGATAGCTCAATGCGGGTAAGTCCTCAAGTTAGAAAGACTTATTTAGACTTTATGCCTAAAAGAAAGAAAATACAAAAATCAGAAAACGATGTTTATGTTAGTCCTAGTACTGGCAATACTCTTCATGTACTGGAAAACGCTGAATACGGACTTGCAACTCCTATCCGCAAATATTATAATTTACGAAAAGAAACCCCAGTAACTTCGAACGTATCAAATCTTACAAGCAGGACTAGTTCTATTAGTGACATTTCATGTGCAAAATCCTTATTATGCCCACTATATACGAGGAAATCTGTGCAATATATGACACCCAAACGCAGAATAATCAAAGTTCATTGACAAATTTGAATATTTCTACAATTTATGGTAAAGATTTAAATCCAGATGCATCTAATAACAATTATACTCCCAACCCTTCCGAGAAAATCTGTGCAATATATGACACTCAAACGCAAAATGAACAAAGTTCATTAACATATTTGAATATTCCTGCAAATTCTGCTAAAGATTTTAAACCCGATTCATCTGATGATAATTATGCTCCCAACTCGTCTGACCTAGAAACTGATTCTTCTTACTCCGACGATAGTGATGGTGATGATAGCGTGATAACTTACTATGAAAACAGTTCTGAAATCGAATTAGTTCAAATTCTTGAAAATACTCAATGTACAGAAAACAATAATTTTGACGAGTGGGAAGACATTAACGATACAAAACCTGATTTCGATGAATTCACAGATAATTGTAGACCAAACATTCCGGATAATACTATTACGCCAGCAGATTTTTACAGTCTATTTGTAACGGATGAAATTATTGAGCAAATGGTAATAAACACAAACAATTACGCACAAGATCTTATTAGTAATCTAAGTAATCTTAAGCCTAAATCACGCTTGCGAGCCTGGACTCCTACAACTCTAGAGGAGATGAAAAAATTTTTAGGAGTGCTACTGACGATGGGTCTTGTAAGAATACCACGTTTAAATGATTACTCGTCGAAAATAAACATCTACAATAATAAATACATTAGTTTAGTTATGACAAGAGATCGATTTCTGCTAATTTTGAAATTTTGGCATTTTAGTCAAGAGTCACCTAACGACACAGACAAATTGAAAAAGATAAGGGATACTTTTAATAAGATTTTAGAAAAAATGCAAACCCTTTTGGAGCCAGGTCGGTATCTTATCATAGATGAAAGCATGATTCCGTGGCGAGGGAGGTTGAAATTTCGCCAATACATTAAAAACAAGTCCCACAAATATGGAGTGAAACTATATAAGCTCTGCACTCCAGAAGGATACACAAGAAACTGTATTATATATACAGGTAAAGGAGATAATGGTCGAGAAACTAATCATGGAAAGGAAACAGTATTAAGATTAATAAAAGGATTAGAAAATAATGGAAGAATAATAATAACAGATAATTTCTACAATTCCATTGATCTTGCAGAAGAACTTATACGTAAAAAGACCTTCATGTGTGGTACTCAGAGACCAAATCGGAAAGGAAATCCTAAGAAAATAATATCCATAAAATTGAAACGAGGTCAAATAGTAGGAAAAATGAACCCAAATGGGGTAAGAGTTATAAAGTGGACAGATAAGAGACCGGTTCATATGATTTCTACGTGCCGAAATCACAATTTGACTCTTAAATCTACAGGTACGTATTCCATATGTGTTATTTTAGATAAGGATGTTAGTTCATTTTTTCTGTTTTATTTATTTATAGAAGTAGCATTACAGTTGGCACTAAAGCATTATAACTAGCTATTTACATAATTATTTAAATGAAAAAATTAAAAATACATATGACGCAAAAATAAAAACAAAATATAACTAGGTAAAAATTTGAGAAATTAGGAGTATTTTTTATAAATAAACTAGTATCCGCCCGCGATAAAATCTACAAATTTTGAGAAATTTAATTTGAATAAATTTATAGATACACTGTATCTACCAATATTTTAACTTGTATTTATCTCATTTTCAGGTAAGACGAACCGAATCACTGGAAACATAATTAAAAAACCACAATGCGTCATAACATACAATGAGAATAAAAAAGGCATCGATTTTAACGACCAAATGTCTTCATATTATTCTAGCTTGTAAAGAGGCGTGAAATGGTTCAGAAAAGTAATAATGGAGATATTATTTGGAACAGTCATAATAAACAGCTGGGTATTATACAATCACGGAAACCCAGTTCAAATGCCAAAGAAGAATTTTATGGAAGCAATTATTGAAGCTTTGACTCAGGTGCCGATATTAACAGAAACAGGTAATATATTTTTCCGTAATATTTAGCACTAGGTAAAGATATTCTGTCTGAGAAAAAAAATAACTAAAAATGATAATAAAATACTTAATTGTAATTTAATACTGATACAATAACCTTATATTTTTTTCTCGGAGCAAGCTAGTTTTTATTAGTTGTTAAGTTTTAAGATAAAGTTAACTTTAAAATAGCAACAATCTCACACGGCGTTTCCTCTCTTGGTTTATTATTTAATTTGTTTCTTTTATTACAGCTAATGAATGTGCTGCTATGCCAAAGACGAATCATACCTTCGAAAACAAAGGGATAAAAAGAAGAAACTGTGCGGGTTGTTACAATAAGCTTCGTGGAACCTTAACTAGCAAAGATGCTCAAAGAAAAACCAAAAAAATTAAATCGTATTGCGCTGAGTGCAATAAGGGATATTGCGCTAAATGTTTTTACGAAAATCATCTATAACAGATAACAGTTAATAATAAAATAAAGTTGATCTCGATATTTCTGTACTTATGTTATTTCCCATCACTAAAATTATCCCAATTATACCATTACCTAGGTGCGGTAATGGGTCGATAAGCCTTATGTTTGTTTTTCTGTTTATTTTCTAAATAAGTCATCGGAGCAATTTGCGACGCTAGTATAAGATAGGCTTACATTTTCTCAATAACCTAGTTAAAAAAAAATATTCAATATCAAAAGTTTTCGCAGAGTTATTAGAGTTTGAAGTGACCCATATCTTACCAGGTTTATTGACCCATTGACGCACCGGTGAAAAGTTTAGGTATAAGGCCTATAGACCTGGTAACGCACTGGAGGAATAATGTCTCAAATAGTTGCCGCAGCGAACGTGTTAATCTGTACGCACCTCAACACCGCGCGTCACGTTAGGTAAGCTAGCTTTTAAAACAAATACACAAATAATACTGTTAATGAATGCTTCCTTTCAGTTTATTATATAACTATGTTAAAAGTTGTGGTTATGATATATTTTTAGATTAATACAATTTTTTCTTTCACCTTGTGCTTCCTGCTAACTAAAAAAAATAGTCAATAAAAGGTGGGAAACCCTGGATTGATTGATATAGATTTTTCATAAAAAAACTTATTGAGCATTTTTTAAGTTTCCAAATTATTAATAGTGTGAATTCAGTTCTCAAGAAAATTAACGCAACAAGCTTATCCTTGACATCCTTCTATATTATTTGTGATTTCAATAGAAGAAAGGTTCTCGAGCGGCAGCCTCGTACCGGGAGACGAAGTGTAGGGCGTCCGCCCACTACATGAAGTGACAACCTGGTAAGACACGCAGGAAGACGATGGATGCAAGTGGCTCAGGACCGTGCTTTGTGGCACTTTTGGGGGAGGCCTATGTTCAGCAGTGGACTTGTGAAGGGCTGTGATTTCAGTAACCAGTAGTCTTTATATTATTATATGTCATTAATTTTATAGCTATATATATAAAAAATATGGTGAAATTTAATATACTCTAAAACCTCGACTCCTTTTTCGTCTTCAAGAGTGGCTCCTATAAAACCTAATGGACTTTTGGTGTCTAGTTGAAATTTGTATATGCTTCAACTGGGACTAACTGGATAAAATTTGAATATATTAGGTCAAGGGGTTTTTTTATTTATATATTCAAACATCAAGTTTCTGTTAAGTGCTTGGCCTTGTAACCGCTAATTTATATACATTTATGAAGTGTTTTTTGTATTTTTAATATAAATGTATAAATGTTTCGGAAGCTTAAATATTTCATTGTTACTATCAATTCGAAAAAAAATATCTTATGATCTTGTGATCTATTGTTGTCTTCTTAAATTGTCAGAGATTAGAAAAATATTTTTCTGTTAGTTATGTTAGGAAGACAGGAGCTTGAAAAATTCAATCGGATTTCTTCAGTCGGGTTGAGAAATTAAATTAGAACATAAAAAAGTCTTTAATTCTTGAACCTAAAAATGAAAAACCTATGTAGAGTAAATTTACAAATATGCATAGAGTGTATTAACATATTATACATTCAATAAAACACATAAGAGTTTTTATAGCAATGTTGATTTTGATTGGCAGAAATTGTCATAATTAAGAGACTTGTTGGTAATTGTAATACTTACCGGTTACATATACTTACTAAACAACTTAAATTCTGCTGCTTTCTGTAATTAATTTGAGTGTATCAACTTTCGCATGTTTGGCATATATATATCGTTATTAGTTCATGGTAGAAAGTTAGCATAGTATAAGTGTAAGTGTATTTTTTTTATAGGATAGGGTGACAAATGAGCACACAATTCACCTGATGGTAAGTGTTTGCTGTGGCCTATAGACATCTACATCTATCCTCGTTTGCGAATCAAAATGCAGATGCGTTGTCACCCGTGAGGACTAAGATGGAATGCCTCTTTTCCAGTAAAATGGGTCTCCGGTTCTCTACACTGACCATACGAAACACAGCAGTGTTAAGCTGCTATTTTACGCTGGTATTCTGTGAGAGCGTGGTCCTTCCCCGGTCGAGCCGACCCATTCGTGCTACAACTAACTAGTAATATAGCTGCAGCATGGCTCTACCATGTAAAAAAATGTATATGTATATGTAAAAATGTAACGTGTATATATTTGAAAGGGTCCAACAGATAGGGGTTAGTCATTCATCGACGTTCTACCCCTTGAAACAGAAATCACACCAAGTTCGGTTCGTCAACAACGAGATGGACGTGACCCCCGTGGAGGAGTGTCACACAAAAACGTCTATTGCACTTTCTGAGAAGAAAGGTTAGATGACTAAGATTACAGTCCCTTTGGAGTGGCCCCGGTCTTGACGTCCCTGGAGTGGACTGTATCTTCATCTAATTTGGAAGGAGCAGTAGGAAATGAAACATTGATTTTAACCTCGTAATTTCCCCATAAGAGTGCAACGTTGAAACTTTTACTAATTTACTATCATTTCCCTATTTGCCTTCTTCTTTCTTGCTTTAAGCTATAAAATTGGTAGCTGGTACCCGAACAAATTTCTCCGTGATGTTCTTCTTCTTGACCCTTTCTTGGGATAGAAGATCTACGGGTGTCGAAGTAGCCCTCATTACCTGGGCGTGTTCGCGGGGGGCACGGCTCCCCCGGTATTGGCTGCTGCGTTTGGACACAGCGTATATGTTGGTGTTTTGCGTACTTCACGCCATCTGATCCGGTTTCGGGACTCTCACTCGTCCCCCTCGCCGGGCGTTGTGCGCAGAATTTCACGTGGGAGTAGTCGCCCGTCAGGTGGGCGCGTTTGTAATGGTGTTAGGTTGTGAAGGTGTTGGTGTGGCCCGTTATCTGTCGTAGAACCGTCTTGACACAACATTATAATAATAATTATTTTAGGGTCACAAACTCTTGAATTGTTTCTATTTTCAGGTCACGCGCTGTGGCGTCATTCCTGACGTAACGGCCGGCTCTCACGATCACCTGTAGTGCAAGATTCTGCTGGGCCTGCATCTTCTTGCGCTGATTGGCTAAGGTCATCGCGTACCAGACTGGTGGTGTATATGTCAGCCGCGAGCAGGCCTAGGTTTTGTAGATACCTATCTTGGTGTTTAAAGGGAATTTGGATGCCAGTACGAGATATCCTCCTCATCGGGATGTGCCGAGATTGGTGCGTAAACCTGTATGACCTTTAGCAAATACCGTTTGGTGATTCTGAGTATAAGGTACGCAACCCTCGTCGACACTCCCGATCTTTACAACGTTGTTAACGAGAGACTTGTGGACGATAAATCCGACACCTCCTTGGGACAGATGGTCGCCCTCCCGGTGATAGAGTAAGTTGCCGGATTCGAGGATTACCGTGTCCTCCCCCTCTCTTCGGATCTCGGATAATCCTATAATATGCCAGCGTAACTTGTCTATCTCTTCTTCCAGCTCCACGATCTTCTCGTCAGTCCTCAGGGTGCGTGCGTTTTATGTTACCAGGTCAAGCCGTCTTAGGTGGCAACCGAACCTCCACCGGAGATTCTTAGCACCCCCTGCCCCGCCGTTACCATGGTCGCCACCGTAGCCAGGAATAGCGGGGCTTCTGGGGACTGGGGGCCGTCTCTTCGTTACCTTCATCATGGGGGATATTTGCCATAGTTGCCACGCTTGTCGAGCGGGTTGGCAACCGCAGGTTTTTGTTGTAATATCGCTGGATGGAAGATGAAGATCAGGAAGATGCTGCTGCCCATCTCCTGCCTGTTTCCCACTGTCACCTCTTACGACACCCACGGGAATATATGAGGTAGTGGATTTTCTTAACCGTCACTACACGGCAATTTCTATTTTTAAGGTACATTATTTAGACACGGTTTAGATCCTACTCATACTACATGAGCAGCCAATCTAAATTAATCCATAAATAAGCTTTCATGGAATTAACTCTCAACCGGGGAATCGAACCCCGAACTTTCGTTCGACCTTATACGGAATCTATTTACTTTTAATAGAGATTATCTCTTTATTCGAAGTGCCTTATATAATTTAATAGTAATATTTTCAAAACACAAAATTATTTATTTTTATGGAATGAAGAATGATAAACTATTTTTTAAGCGCGTCGCCAACAATATTGTATGCGTAATAAGGGAATTTATAACGAATGCTAAAATAATAAACATATCAAAAAGCAACTTTTGTGCTTTAAAGACATTTTAACATAATCTTGTAAACTGTATTTACCCTCATGCAGTCTTGCGGCATATCAAGCGTCTTACTACCGCATCTTGTTAAGCCTTGGCTCGTCGCCCAGACGCGGATCGAACTTTCATTCAATTCAAATACTTGAACCGGAATATACGGAAATATTAAAATAATAGGTCGGGGA